AGTGGTATTGTTAGTAACTTTGGTAACAAATGCTGGGCGGGAGGTGAAATCAGTTAATTTCGGCCTTCTGTCTACTATTCCCTTGGTGCTGGAATTTATTTCCTTATAAATTATTCTGGTTTTCCTCAGTGCACGTGTGAGGCAGCTCACCTTTATGTAATTCTGCTTCTGTGGTGCCACACGTTTATTTGGAATGCATGGCGTCAAATGCTTCTTCTTGAAGCAAGATGGGACTAGTGGAGCTTGTTTTCCACCCCACTATTCTTGATGTGTGTCGTCATTTTGCTTGCTCTCTCTTCTTCTCAGTGGATGTGTAAAGCAGTGTTTCTCTTACGCATGTGGCAGTAAAGTGCGTATTCTGAGATGTTTCCTTCAGCCGTTTAGTCTAAATTTCACATTGCTTCCTTACATCAGTACTTTATTCTTAATTCAGAGACGTGATTTGTTTGGCTGGACGTGGATTCTTCTATGCCTTTAAGGCAATGGCGTTTGACTGCTAAGCGAAAGATAAAACTGTGGAAGTTCTCTATTCCATTTCTTCAGTGCCACAACCGAGAGTCATATGTAAGGCAGTTCCCCTGCAAATCCTAGGGACAACGTCTTGGTAGGTTATCCAAAAGTGGAGACGGGAGCTACTTTTGCAGCCTTGCCCTTGTTAAATTCTCTTAACATAAGGAACTGCTTGTCTGTAATACTAGTCCATCGCTGCAAGTGTTTTTTTGTAGATACTGCCACAAAACCAACCCCTCTTGTAGGCCGAATTAGTGCCGTGATGCGTCGGGGCTGTGTGTGAATGAATCCAGTGACCTTGTTGAATTACTTTGCTATTATTTTCAAAGGTGTTGGCGCATCTGCAACGAAGGTGGCATCGTACTTCAGGGAGCCAGGGACTGCTGTTGTCTATCATATTGGGCAGACAGTGGAGGTAAACAGCGACCTTCTGTGCAGTGAGTGCGTGCCATACGACGGATGAAACCAAGCAAAGCTACCTTGTCTGAGGCAACTTGTAATTCACCTTCTGGAGATTGCGACGTAGTTAAACGTGATTTCATTTCTTTCTGTTGATGTAGTAAATGCCATCAGCAATATATTTGTCATATTCATTATTGTCTCCGCAATTAGTTGTGGTGCATTCCATCTTGTTCAAAGATGTTGAGCATGCAAA